TGAAGATTTCTCACACAATATTTCATCTTAAGCGCGCCCTCTCCCCCTCCCGCCCCCCGTCCCCTCCCAGTCCTCATCATCAAACCCCATTGACAACGCTGAACGAGGATGACGTAGGCACCTGTCTACGTCATGACGTTAGTGTCATAGGGTCCTATGTGCGTCTTTCCGTTCATGGGGAAAGGCGCTCTTGACGCTCCCGGTGACAAGGATCATTCCCAAAATCCTTTTAAAATTAAGGTGTAGGGTATTGCGTTTTCTTCTCATTGGAAAGTATTACTGTGTAGTTCTGGTACCTGCAGGGCGGCCCCCTATAGCTGTCCCCAGTGTTGCAGGTACACCCCAGGTGTACCATGGAGTACCATGTACACCTGGCCATGGTGGGTGGTGTGTCCTCTCCTCATACTTTCTCAAGTATCTCCACTAACAGAACGTCAACAACAAAACCAGCGGAATTCTCATGTAAATATTGACGGAACCCCACCTCAAGTTTCCCCAGACAAAATATCTGGGAGTGATTATGAAAAACAGACAATAGAAAAGAAAGAGAGAGAGAGAGAGAGAGAGAGAGAGAGAGAGAGAGAGAGAGAGAGAGAGAGAGAGAGAGAGAGAGAGAGAGAGAGAGAGAGAGAGAGAGAGAGAGAGAGAGAGACAGAAAGAACGAGAAAAAGAGAGAGGAGAGAAAGAGTTTAGACCAGGAGTGAAAGAGACTTATGAGAAAGAGAGACAGAGACAAAGAAAGAGAAACAACGCAAGTAAAAGATAAAAAAAGAGAGAAAGAGATGACAATAACAAGGCAGCATGATATTTCAGATGGAACAGGTACACAAATGAAAAGCCTAGTGTTCACTGATGATGTTGAGTTACTGGGAATGTAGTTGGACTCTTCACTGACAATGAGAAGCCACGAACTAGCCCACAAGGTCGCCAGGAAACATGCTGCCCTACAGCACATCTCATACCATCTTGACACCAGGGGGGTTACAACACATTATATGAAGCACAAGTCTGTTCTCATTTTCAGAATACATCAGACCCCTTGACCGCCTCCTCCCGTCATTCCTCAACATTTAGGACGAGGTGGAAAGCCAAGACCAGAGAAGACACATCTCTGGTCATGACTAAGTCTGGTTGGACTGATCTCAACATCAGCGCTTTCAACACCGTCGAGATGTTGCAGGATTTACTGTTATGTATAAGGACAAGATTCTCAAAGTTCCGGACGGAGAAGAACTTAGAGGAGAGCCAGATTTCGGCAGATGTCTACAAGGCGCACCTGGACCTTGCTCGCTCAACACGTCAAGAAGTCAACTGACTATATGAAGGCTCTGGTAAACAGTTGGCGCCTCGTTCATCCTCTTCCCTTATATAATAGACACATGGCTTGGGAGTTAGCTTATTTTTAATTTATATAAATAAAAACCTCATCAAAGAAGTAAGGTTGTAGAGAGCTTCAGCCTTCCCATGACCCGATGGGAGATTAGCGCCACTGCTTGTAGCTTCAATCCGAACATCACTGACACTTATAATGAACCTTAGCCTTAGTTTACAAATAAAGGAAATAAAAGAAAGTGTAATTTCTTGGCAATGAAAACAGTGTAACATCTGCTTTGTGTTCGTCTCTGGGTGGCTTATAATGCCATATATTTGAGTACTAAAGTATTTCTTGTCGGTATCTTGCCAGTAAACCAAAGTGTTTCTTGCCGGTATCTTTGTCTTGTGGCTACTCCCCAGACTTGTAGATCTTTATCTACTGCTCTCGCTTTCAGAATTTTATTCTCTTCATTCTGTCTCCTTCAGTTCTATCCTTTCCCCTTTCAATCTTTCTCTCTTCCCTTCTTCTCATTCCATCCTCCCTTCTCCGCTCTTTCCTATCCCTTATCCCCTTGTTCCTTATTTCCATCCCGTCACCACCACTTCTCCCGTCACCCTCTTTTCCACTTCCGTTACCCTTCTCCTCCTCTCCCGTCACCCACCTCCTCCCCTCCCGTCACCCTCTTCCTCCCCTTCCGTCACCCTCCTCCTCCCCTTCCGTCACCTTCCTCCTCCCCTTCCGTCACCCCCCTCCTCCCCTTCCGTCACCCCCCCCCACAGGTAAGAAGAGCTCCCGTGTGACGGTTGGGAAAGTTCTGCCTCATCACGGTGTATTCTTCCTCCTCCTCCTCTGTCCTCCTCACCTGCTTTCCTCAGCTCAACCTTTCCTTCACGCTCCTTCACTGTCCTCCCTCTCACTGCCTTCACGCTCCTTCACTGTCCTCCCTCTCACTGCCTTCACGCCCCTTCACTGTCCTCCCTCTCACTGCCTTCACGCTCCTTCACTGTCCTCCCTCTCACTGCCTTCACGCTCCTTCACTGTCCTCCCTCTCACTACCTTCACTGTCCTCCCTCTCACTGCCTTCACGCTCCTTCATTGTCCTCCCTCTCACTGCCTTCACGCTCCTTCACTGTCCTCACTCTTACTGCCTTCACGCTCCTTCACTGTCCTCCCTCTGCCTTCACGCTCCTTCATTGTCCTCCCTCTCACTGCCTTCACGCTCCTTCACTGTCCTCCCTCTCACTGCCTTCACGCTCCTTCACTGTCCTCCCTCTCACTGCCTTCACGCTCCTTCACTGTCCTCCCTCTCACTGCATTCACGCTCCTTCACTGTCCTCCCTCTCACTACCTTCACGCTCCTTCACTGTCCTCCCTCTCACTGCCTTCACGCTCCTTCACTGTCCTCCCTCTCACTACCTCCACGCTCCTCCTTTCTCTACCTCTTCCCTTCAATTATACTTCCCGTCTTCTAACCCTCGTCTCTCACACCATTTCTTTCTCCCTTCCCATTCTCCGCCTGCCTCTCTCTCTTCCCCTCCCTCCCCCCCTCTCTCTCTCTCTCTCACCAATCTTATCTCACAATTTTAGCATCTTTGCTAATCAATAATTCAACCACACCTTCAGATGATCTTGGCTTACGATTATTGGTTCAATGTGGAGTAAATGTAAACACGGAATGTCTTATGTATTGTCACCCTGTGCTTCAGTTCATCATTCTGGGCCCTCCGTGTCTTGTTTCCCGTCTTCTATGATCACTTCTGTGTTTCCCGTCTTCTATGATCACTTCTGTGTTTCCCGTCTTCTATGATCACTTCTGTGTTTCCCGTCTTCTATGATCACTTCTGTGTTTCCCGTCTTCTATGATCACTTCCGTGTTTCCCGTCTTCTATGATCACTTCCGTGTTTCCCGTCTTCTATGATCACTTCCGTGTTTCCCGTCTTCTATGATCACTTCTGTGTTTCCCGTCTTCTATGATCACTTCTGTGTTTCCCGTCTTCTATGATCACTTCTGTGTTTCCCGTCTTCTATGATCACTTCTGTGTTTCCCGTCTTCTATGATCACTTCCCATCTATCTTCCTCTCGTGTCAATAACTGTGCTGTTCTCTAATTAGTTTGTTTGTCTTACCAAATACTATTATTGTCTGTGATTACTTTTATATTTTTTTACCTCATCCTCGTCACCACTACCCTCGTCACCATCACCCTCGTCACCACCACCGTCGTCACCACCATCCTCGTCACCACCACCACCCTCGTCACCACCACCACCCTCGTCACCACCACCACCGTCGTCACCACCACCACCGTCGTCACCACCACCACCCTCGTCACCACCACCACCCTCGTCACCACCACCACCGTCGTCACCACCACCACCGTCGTCACCACCACCACCCTCGTCACCACCACCACCGTCGTCACCACCACCACCGTCGTCACCACCACCACCGTCGTCACCACCACCCTCGTCACCACCACCACCACCCTCGTCACCACCACCACCCTCGTCACCACCACCGTCGTCACCACCACCGTCGTCACCACCACCACCCTCGTCACCACCACCACCGTCGTCACCACCACCACCGTCGTCACCACCACCACCCTCGTCACCACCACCGTCGTCCCCACCACCCTCGTCACCACCACCACCCTCGTCACCACCACCGTCGTCACCACCACCACCCTCGTCACCACCACCGTCGTCACCACCACCACCACCCTCGTCACCACCACCGTCGTCACCACCACCACCACCCTCGTCACCACCACCGTCGTCCCCACCACCCTCGTCACCACCACCACCCTCGTCACCACCACCACCCTCGTCACCACCACCACCCTCGTCGTCACCACCACCCTCGTCGTCACCACCACCCTCGTCGTCACCACCACCCTCGTCGTCACCACCACCCTCGTCGTCACCACCACCCTCGTCACCACCACCACCCACGTCACCACCACCACCCTCGTCACCACCACCACCGTCGTCACCACCACCACCGTCGTCACCACCACCACCGTCGTCCCCACCACCACCCTCGTCACCACCACCACCCTCGTCACAACCACCACCCTCGTCACAACCACCACCCTCGTCACAACCACCACCCTCGTCACCACCACCACCGTCGTCACCACCACCACCCTCGTCACCACCACCACCCTCGTCACCACCACCACCGTCGTCACCACCACCACCGTCGTCACCACCACCACCGTCGTCACCACCACCACCGTCGTCACCACCACCACCCTCGTCACAACCACCACCCTCGTCACCACCACCACCGTCGTCACCACCACCACCGTCGTCACCACAACCACCGTCGTCCCCACCACCCTCGTCACCACCACCGTCGTCCCCACCACCCTCGTCACCACCACCACCACCCTCGTCACCACCACCACCACCACCACCCTCGTCACCACCACCACCCTCGTCACCAGCACCCTCGTCACCACCACCCTCGTCACCACCACCACCCTCGTCACCACCACCACTCTCGTCACCACCACCACCCTCGTCACCACCACCACCACCCTCGTCACCACCACCACCACCCTCGTCACCATCACCACCCTCGTCACCACCACCACCACCCTCGTCACCACCACCCTCGTCACCTTGACCTTCCTCAGTGATACTCTTGGCTGAATTCTCTTTTTATTGAACTGATTCGTCATCCGCCTCCCTCCTCCTCCTGCTGCTGCACCAGCTCCTGCTGCTGCACCAGCTCCTGCTGCTGCACCAGCTCCTGCTGCTGCACCAGCTCCTGCTGCTGCACCAGCTCCTGCTGCTGCACCAGCTCCTGCTGCTGCACCAGCTCCTGCTGCTGCACCAGCTCCTGCTGCTGCACCAGCTCCTGCTGCTGCACCAGCTCCTGCACCAGCTCCTGCTGCTGCACCAGCTCCTGCTGCTGCACCAGCTCCTGCTGCTGCACCAGCTCCTGCTGCTGCACCAGCTCCTGCTGCTGCACCAGCTCCTGCTGCTGCACCAGCTCCTGCTGCTGCACCAGCTCCTGCTGCTGCACCAGCTCCTGCTGCTGCACCAGCTCCTGCTGCTGCACCAGCTCCTGCTGCTGCACCAGCTCCTGCTGCTGCACCAGCTCCTGCTGCTGCACCAGCTCCTGCTGCTGCACCAGCTCCTGCTGCACCAGCTCCTGCTGCACCAGCTCCTGCTACACCAGCTCCTGCTACACCAGCTCCTGCTACACCAGCTCCTGCTGCTGCACCAGCTCCTGCTGCACCAGCTTCTGCTGCACCACCTCCTGCTGCTGCACCACCTCCTGCTGCTGCACCACCTCCTGCTGCACCTCCTCCTGCTGCTGCACCACCTCCTGCTGCACCACCTCCTGCTGCACCACCTCCTGCTGCACCACCTCCTGCTGCACCAGCTGCTGCTGCACCACCTCCTGCTGCACCACCTCCTGCTGCACCACCTCCTGCTGCACCACCTCCTGCTGCACCACCTCCGGCTGCACCACCTCCGGCTGCACCACCTCCTGTTGCACCACCTCCTGCTGCACCACCTCCTGCTGCTGCACCAGCGCCTGCTGCACCAGCTCCTGCTGCACCACCTCCTGCTGCTGCACCAGCGCCTGCTGCACCAGCTCCTGCTGCACCACCTCCTGCTGCTGCACCAGCGCCTGCTGCACCAGCTCCTGCTGCACCACCTCCTGCTGCTGCACCAGCGCCTGCTGCACCAGCTCCTGCTACACCACCTCCTGCTGCACCACCTCCTGCTGCACCACCTCCTACTGCACCACCTCCTGCTGCTGCACCACCTCCTGCTGCTGCACCACCTCCTGCTGCTGCACCACCTCCTGCTGCTGCTGCACCACCTCCTGCTGCTGCACCACCTCCTGCTGCTGCACCACCTCCTGCTGCTGCACCACCTCCTGCTGCTGCACCACCTCCTGCTGCTGCACCACCTCCTGCTGCTGCACCACCTCCTGCTGCTGCACCACCTCCTGCTGCACCAGCGCTTGCTGCACCACCTCCTGCTGCTGCACCAGCGCCTGCTGCACCAGCTCCTGCTGCACCAGCTCCTGCTGCACCAGCTCCTGCTGCACCAGCTCCTGCTGCACCAGCTCCTGCTGCACCAGCTCCTGCTGCACCACCTCCTGCTGCTGCACCAGCGCCTGCTGCACCACCTCTTGCTGCTGCACCAGCGCCTGCTGCACCAGCTCCTGCCGCACCAGCTCCTGCTGCACCAGCTCCTGCTGCACCAGCTCCTGCTGCACCAGCTCCTGCCGCACCAGCGCCTGCTGCACCAGCTCCTGCCGCACCAGCGCCTGCTGCACCAGCTCCTGCTGCACCAGCTCCTGCTGCACCAGCTCCTGCTGCACCAGCTCCTGCTGCACCAGCGCCTGCTGCACCAGCTCCTGCCGCACCAGCGCCTGCTGCACCAGCTCCTGCTGCACCAGCGCCTGCTGCACCAGCTCCTGCCGCACCAGCGCCTGCTGCACCAGCTCCTGCTGCACCAGCTCCTGCTGCACCAGCGCCTGCTGCACCAGCTCCTGCCGCACCACCGCCTGCTGCACCAGCTCCTGCTGCACCAGCTCCTGCTGCACCAGCTCCTGCTGCACCAGCGCCTGCTGCACCAGCTCCTGCTGCACCAGCTCCTGCCGCACCAGCTCCTGCCGCACCAGCGCCTGCTGCACCAGCTCCTGCTGCACCAGCTCCTGCTGCACCAGCGCCTGCTGCACCAGCTCCTGCTGCACCAGCGCCTGCCGCACCAGCTCCTGCCGCACCAGCTCCTGCTGCACCAGCTCCTGCTGCACCAGCTCCTGCTGCACCAGCTCCTGCCGCACCAGCGCCTGCTGCACCAGCTCCTGCTGCACCAGCTCCTGCTGCACCAGCTCCTGCCGCACCAGCGCCTGCTGCACCAGCTCCTGCTGCACCAGCTCCTGCCGCACCAGCTCCTGCTGCACCAGCTCCTGCTGCACCAGCTCCTGCCGCACCTCCTCCTTTACATATTTTATTTCCTAATTTTCATAAGAATTTTATTGATTTTCAAGTTCATCTTGATTAATTTTTTGTGGTGAAGTTATTGTTGTGGCGGCCGTCACCTGGTGATGACCCTGGTGGCGCTGAGCGTGACGCACCTGTCTACCCCACTCTCCCCGACAGGTGACAGGACAGACAACAGGTTGTCACCTTCCTGGAGTGTAAACTAGATACTAGTACCGTCTCCATCAAGGTAAGAAGGAATATCAAAGTTTTGGACTTAAGGAGAGAGAGTACCTGACAGATGGGAAAGAGAAGGTCTTAGTGAGAAAGTGTCAAGATGGTGGGTGTCGCCATACCTGGAACATACCTGGTCAGGGTTCCTAAAGTTCTACTCCCCGAGCCCGGCCTGGCGCCAGGCTCGACTTGTGATAACTTGATCCATCAGGCTGTTGCTTCTAGCGGTCTCCCGCTAGCCTGGATGCTTTTAGTATTACCATTACACGTCTTAAGGTTGGATTGTACATACAGGAGGATTATGTACAATCCTTCCTCCGGGGATTGTTCCACCAGTCACAGAGCACATCCACCAGTCACGGAACACATCCACCAGTCACGGAACACATCCACCAGTCACAGAACACATCCACCAGTCACAGAACACATCCACCAGTCACAGACCACATCCACCAGTCACAGAACACATCCACCAGTCACGGAACACATCCACCAGTCACAGAACACATCCACCAGTCACAGAACACATCCACCAGTCACAGAACACATCCACCAGTCACAGAACACATCCACCAGTCACAGAACACATCCACCAGTCACAGAACACATCCACCAGTCACAGATCACATCCACCAGTCACAGAACACATCCACCAGTCACGGAACACATCCACCAGTCACAGAACACATCCACCAGTCACAGAACACATCCACCAGTCACGGAACACATCCATCAGTCACAGAACACATCCACCAGTCACAGATCACATCCACCAGTCACGGAACACATCCACCAGTCACAGAACACATCCACCAGTCACAGAACACATCCACCAGTCACAGAACACATCCACCAGTCACAGAGCACATCCACCAGTCACGGAACACATCCACCAGTCACGGAACACATCCACCAGTCACAGAACACATCCACCAGTCACGGAACACATCCACCAGTCACGGAACACATCCACCAGTCACAGAACACATCCACCAGTCACGGAACACATCCACCAGTCACAGAACACATCCACCAGTCACAGAACACATCCACCAGTCACAGAACACATCCACCAGTCACAGAACACATCCACCAGTCACAGAACACATCCACCAGTCACAGACCACATCCACCAGTCACAGAACACATCCACCAGTCACAGAACACATCCACCAGTCACAGAACACATCCACCAGTCACAGACCACATCCACCAGTCACAGAACACATCCACCAGTCACAGATCACATCCACCAGTCACAGACCACATCCACCAGTCACAGAACACATCCACCAGTCACAGAACACATCCACCAGTCACAGACCACATCCACCAGTCACAGAACACATCCACCAGTCACAGATCACATCCACCAGTCACAGACCACATCCACCAGTCACAGAACACATCCACCAGTCACAGAACACATCCACCAGTCACAGATCACATCCACCAGTCACAGACCACATCCACCAGTCACAGAACACATCCACCAGTCACAGACCACATCCACCAGTCACAGATCACATCCACCAATCACAGACCACATCCACCAGTCACAGAACACATCCACCAGTCACAGACAGTACTGCAAATCGCTGAGAACCAGCAAATAAATATGAAGCACCCTAGCAATCAGTGAGAAACTTTACAATCAAAGATTAGAAACCACCAATCACTATGGTAGAAACTCCCAATCAGAATAATGCACCAACCACAGAGAAGAGACTGCTATTTACGGAAACGAACAACCAATCAGCAACGAGTCCAGCAATCACAGCCGAAACCATACCAATCACAGAAGAACCCGCCAATCACAGAGAAGAACCAGCAAGTCACATATAAATGCCTACCAATCAGAGAGTAAAACCTGCCAATCACTGAGAAAAACTCGATAATCAGAGAAAAGCCTGCCAATCACCAGGAGGAGGAGGCAGACCGATCCATTAAGATGTTCAAGATACTGTGCTGGAGATAACAGTGTTGGGGAGTGGTGGAGGGGGGGGGGATTGGGGGTGTCTAGGGGGGGGATGGGGAGGGAGGGGGTAGGAGTGGTAGAGAGGGGGGGGGGAGGAGGAGTAATGGGATGTCAGGAGAGAGGGAGGGAGGGAGAGAGGGAGGGAAGGAAAGGTGTGTGTACTCACCTAGATGTGCTTGCAAACGTCGGGCTTCAGCTCCTGGTCCCGCCTCCCAGACATGTTAAGTGCAATGACTCGATTCTCATTTTAGTAATCGCATGTACTTTATAATTAAATAATTATGTTACGCTAATTACTATTGATTACAATGTTAATAATTAGCGTAACATCAACAGTACCAGCAACAACAACAGTTATCACAACAGCAACAACAGTGATCACAGCAACAACAACAGTGATCACAGCAACAACAACAGTGATCACAGCAACAACAACAGTGATCACAGCAACAACAACAGTTATCACAGCAACAACAACAGTTATCACAGCAATAACAACAGTGATCACAGCAGCAACAACAGTGCTCACAGCAACAACAACAGTGATCACAGCAATAACAACAGTGATCACAGCAGCAACAACAGTGATCACACCAGCAACAGTGATCACAACAGCAACAACAGTTATAACAGCAGCAACAACAGTTATCACAGCAATAACAACAGTGATCACAGCAGCAACAACAGTGATCACACCAGCAACAGTGATCACAACAGCAACAACAGTGATCACAGCAACAACAGTGATCACAGCAGCAACAACAGTGATCACACCAGCAACAGTGATCACAACAGCAACAGTGATCACAACAGCAACAACAGTGATCACAGCAACAACAGTGATCACAGCAGCAACAACAGTGATCACACCAGCAACAGTGATCACAACAGCAACAACAGTGATCACAACAGCAGCAACAGTGATCACAACAGCAACAACAGTGATCACAACAGCAACAACAGTGATCACAACAGCAACAACAGTGATCACAACAGCAACAACAACAGTGATCACAGCAACAACAACAGTTATCACAGCAACAACAACAGTGATCACAGCAACAACAGTGATCACAGCAACAACAGTGATCACAGCAGCAACAGTGATCACAACAGCAACAGTAATCACAACAGCAACAGTAATCACAACAGTAACAACAGTGATCACAACAGCAACAACAGTGACCACAGCAACAACAGTGATCACAGCAACAACAACAGTGATCACAACAGCAACAACAGTGATCACAGCAACAACAACAGTGATCACAGCAACAACAGTGATCACAGGAACAACAACAGTGATCACAACAGCATCAACAGTGATCACAGCAACAACAACAGTGATCACAGCAACAACAGAGATCACAGGAACAACAACAGTGATCACAACAGCAACAACAGTGATCACAACAGCAACAACAGTGATCACAGCAACAACAACAGTGATCACAGCAACAACAACAGTTATCACAGCAACAACAACAGTGATCACAGCAACAACAACAGTGATCACAGCAACAACAACAGTGATCACAGCAACAACAGTGATCACAGCAACAACAGTGATCACAGCAACAACAGTGATCACAGCAGCAACAGTGATCACAGCAGCAACAGTGATCACAATAGCAACAGTAATCACAACAGCAACAACAGTGATCACAGCAGCAACAACAGTTATCACAGCAACAACAACAGTTATCACAGCAACAACAACAGTTATCACAGCAACAACAACAGTTATCACAGCAACAACAACAGTTATCACAGCAGCAACAACAGTAATCACAACAGCAACAACAGTGATCACAGCAAAAACAACAGTAATCACAACAGCAACAACAGTAATCACAGCAACAACAACAGTAATCACAACAGCAACAACAACAGTAATCACAGCAACAACAGTGATCACAGCAACAACAGTGATCACAGCAACAACAGTAATCACAGCAACAACAACAGTAATCACAACAGCAACAACAACAGTAATCACAACAGCAACAACAGTAATCACAACAGCAACAACAGTAATCACAACAGCAACAACAGTAATCACAGCAACAACAACAGTAATCACAGCAACAACAACAGTGATCACAGCAACAACAACAGTAATCACAACAGCAACAACAACAGTAATCACAACAGCAACAACAGTAATTACAACAGCAACAACAACAGTAATCACAGCAACAACAACAGTAATCACAGCAACAACAACAGTAATCACAGCAGCAACAACAGTAATCACAGCAACAACAACAGTGATCACAGCAACAACAACAGTGATCACAGCAACAACAACAGTGATCACAGCAACAACAACAGTGATCACAGCAACAACGACAGTTATCACAGCAGCAACAACAGTGATCACAGCAACAACAACAGTAATCACAGCAACAACAACAGTGATCACAGCAACAACAACAGTTATCACAACAGCAACAACAACAGTGATCACAGCAACAACAACAGTAATCACAGCAGCAACAACAGTTATCACAGCAACAACAACAGTAATCACAGCAACAACAACAGTAATCACAGCAACAACAACAGTTATCACAACAGCAACAACAACAGTGATCACAGCAGCAACAACAGTGATTACAGCAACAACAACAGTAATCACAGCAGCAACAACAGTGATCACAGCAGCAACAACAGTTATCACAGCAGCAACAACAGTTATCTCAGCAACAACAACAGTGATCACAGCAACAACAACAGTGATCACAGCAACAACAGTGATCACAGTAGCAACAACAGTTATCACAGCAACAACAACAGTGATCACAACAACAGTGATCACAGCAACAACAACAGTGATCACAGCAACAACAACAGTGATCACAACAACAGTGATCACAGCAGCAACAACAGTTATCTCAGCAACAACAACAGTGATCACAGCAACAACAACAGTGATCACAGCAACAACAGTGATCACAGTAGCAACAACAGTTATCACAGCAACAACAACAGTGATCACAACAACAGTGATCACAGCAACAACAACAGTGATCACAGCAGCAACAACAGTGATCACAACAACAGTGATCACAGTAGCAACAACAGTTATCACAGCAACAACAACAGTGATCACAGCAACAACAACAGTGATCACAACAACAGTGATCACAGCAACAACAACAGTGATCACAGCAACAACAACAGTGATCACAGCAGCAACAACAGTTATCACAACAGCAATCTTGTTATCTGCTTAGAATACTTTACTGCTATTGCAAAGTATTGAGGAATCGTCATTTGTAACTCGAAAAGATACGATAGAATATTTCTGGTAACTTTTATCTGTTAAACATCATGTGTCTATTGTCCTGCCAATAAAGCATTCATGTGGTATACAGTAGTGCTACATAATGTTACATAAGGTATATGTAGAAGAAGATATACATAGTGAAAATATATATTAAGGTCAATCTGGAAACAACCCATTGACATCTGGCATAACTGCAAGGTTCCTTGCCGAACTCATCAAGTGTAAGATAGTATACAAAGTTTGTATACATCAAAGTTTGTATACATCAAAGTTTGTATACATCAAAGTTTGTATACAACAAAGTTTGTATACAACAAAGTTTGTATACATCAAAGTTTGTATACAACAAAGTTTGTATACAACAAAGTTTGTATACATCAAAGTTTGTATACAACAAAGTTTGTATACATCAAAGTTTGTATACAACAAAGTTTGTATACAACAAAGTTTGTATACATCAAAGTTTGTATACAACAAAGTTTGTATACATCAAAGTTTGTATACATCAAAGTTTGTATACATCAAAGTTTGTATACATCAAAGTTTGTATACATCAAAGTTTGTATACATCAAAGTTTGTATACAACAAAATTTGTATACAACAAAGTCTGTATACAAAAGTTCAGGAAATTCGTTTAATCCGTATTTTACAAATATATTTTTTCACTTATATTTTGCATTACAAAATAATTTACTATATTTATCCAACATTGTGTTTACAAATGTGATTTATCTCATCACATTTACAAACGGAACTTACAGTACAATAATAATTTGTACAACAGTACAAACTGAACTTATTATAATTGTTACAATTTTACCCTCAATTAGTCCCAACGGTGTTCAGACCAGTTCACAACGACTGGTATAACCCAGTCACTGACCGTCCACAACTGCAGCAACAGCGGACAGATGCAACAAGAATTAACAGCAGCAACGGGCACAGCACCAACAAAAGCGGACACAGCAGCATCAGCTGCACAGAACCTAGCAACAACAGGAGCCAAGGCGTCAACAGGAGCCAAGGCATCAACAGGAGCTAAGGCAACAACAGGAGCCAAGGCAACAACAGGAGCTAAGGCAACAACAGGAGCCAAGGCAACAACAGGAGCCAAGGCATCAACGGTGAAGGCAGTAACATCATCCACACAGTACGCAGGAACAGCGGATCCGGCAACAGATGGACCAACAGCAACAGTAACGGTGGCGACAGCTGCACAGAAAGCAAACGTGCCATTAAGAAATATGACAAACAGCAGCAACAGCATCAACAGCAGATGCAACAGGATTACCCACAATCTCTTCAGTAGCAGACGCGGCAACAGCATAAACAGCACCAGAAACAGCGTCAGCAGCATGGGCAGCGCTGAGC